CATCAGGATGCAAGGTATTTGAACATAAAATGTTTTTATAAATTTGTATGTATTTTATGTTTCACACAACGATCCCGACAGTCCTCGACTTATGAACTCAATTAGTTCCTGGGACCCGTTCGTGAGTCAAACGGTTTGTAAGTGGGAACACAATAATGTACACACGTGCGCGCACGCACACACGAGCACAAACACTGGAAGCGCGAGGATGACACAACTCGTGGAGGATCGCTCCGCTGAAAAAAGAATAGATCCTCGGTTCAGTTTGCAAGTGCGAGTTCGCGTTGTAATTCTCAATGTTAAAACATGTTTCATGGTAGCTGGTTCCTAAGTGCGGAAATTCGTAAGTCGAGTGTTCGTAAGTCGATGCCTGCATGTATGTGTAATGTTTATTTGTTACTGTAAACGGAAAAATCCGTGTAGCCAGTAACCCAGCTAGTTTCGGTGGAAACAGCTGGAACCCACTAACAGAGTTAATGTTGTGGTGGAGAGAAACCCAGCCAGTAAGGAAACTCGAGGCATAGATTATTGTAATAGTAGTATGACTTACATTGCTATAGCAGCGTTGATGAAAAATACTTGAATAACACATTTAGCATTATCTTATTGCAATATATTAAAGTGTAATGGCAAATTAAAACGACGCGAAACAATTTAGCAATCCTGTACAGCGATACACGTAATCAAATTAAGTTAATTGCAAACGCTGAAACACGTACATATTAGTGAACATATCGTGGATAGAAGAAACTGATTAAACAAAATATCCATACAATTAAAACATCAATGAAGCAGGTTGCTGGAATGGATGCTCCAGGCGCCACTCTACGCGTGAGTGGTGCCAGTGGACTGAGAGGCCGTGCCAGGAGTCGCTGTCGCTGGCTGCTCAATGACCACCACCCTCTCGGCCGCTGCAGGGAGGGCGCGGCGCTGAGCCTTGAACTTCAGCTTCCCGTCTTCAGTCAAGCAGCAGCTCACGCTCTGCGGGTCCACGTCCCTGGGCAGCTGCGTCTCCCTGTGGAACTCCTGGCAGCTGTGGCTGTAGCTGCCGCTGCTGACTTCTCCGCTCTTCACCTCGCGCCGTCCGGCCACCACCAGCTTGTCTCCAGACACCTTCACGGCCAGGTCCTGTGGGGAGAAGTCCTGCACGTCCAGGGACGCGACAAACCCGCCTCCCTGCTCCTGTGGATCTTCAATCTGGAACCCACTGCTCACGGCCGGCTGCTGCAGCAGTGCGTCTCCGAGGCTGCCCGGAGCCCGCGTGTGGCTGCTGAGCTGATCGACTCCACGGAAGATTCTCTCCATCCTCTCAATCTCGCTCCTCATGTCTCGCTGCAGCTGCTGGAAGAGACTTTCACCGCGGGGGTTCCAGACCGGCCAGCCTGGCCAGACGTTCCTCTCCTTCACGTGCATCGCAGGAAAGTAAACACTCAGGGCCATGCTTGTTGATGTGCTAGTTTAGAGAAGACGTCACACAGCTGAACCCCAGGTTTGAGTCACTGCTATTTGCTGTGGATGAGGGAAGCCCTGGGAGCAGCTGCGTCATTCTGGACGCTTCTGGCTCCCCTGGAATCTGCTCGTAGCTACTGCCAGGGCGATAAAAGCAGCTCCTGTAGCTGCACTGGCAGAACATCGGCAGAGGAAGGAGCAGCGCTCACAGCGCTAACAGGTGAAGCGAGCGTCACTGTGAAGCACATCAACAAGCAAGCATAAGATGTCCTTAATTAACGCTAAGACACATATTAATCAAAAACGCTAAGACACCTATTAGCAACATCAGTAAGGATGAGCGTTTTTTGCTTTCTCAATTAAAAAGAGAGAGGACATCGTCATCATCTCAGCCGACAAGGGCAATTTCACTGTCCTCATGGAAAAAAACACATACAATAACAAAATTCAGGACCTACTGAATGATGGTAGATTTACCAAAATCAATAGAGATCCCACCAACCGCCTTGTTACAAAAACCAACAATATCATCACTGATTCAACATCTTTAATCGAACCAACCAAGCGGCTTTCCTTAAAACCCTCTGCTGCTAGACCACCCAGACTTTATGGCTTACCAAAAATCATAAAGAAGATACACCCCTTCATCCTATCGTCTTCATTATTGACTCACTCACCTACAAACGGGCCCCATTTCTGTCTCAGACCTTACAACCATTCACTGGTAAGACCACCTCAGCTGTACTTAAATCAGCTCACTTGGTATCGTTAATTAATGACATCTCACTATTTCCAGGTGATTTGCTTGTCAGTTTCGATCTAGTATCGTTGTTTACTAAAGTTCCTGTGCCTTACACCATTGCAATCATTGACGATTTGGTCCAACAAGGATTGAATGCTGATGTACCGGCCCTGGTTGGACACTGCCTCACCAACACTTACTTCACCTGGAATGGAACACTATACAAAGAAGTTGAAGCTACCCCAATGGGTTCGCCCTTATCTCCAGTTGAAGCCAATTTTTAATGGAAACATATTTTGAGACAGATGCCATCCAGGCATCCACCCTACGTCCTTGTCTAAGAGGTACATAGATGACACGTTCCTCATCTGGCCACATGGCCTACCAGCTTTGGGCCAATTCTTCAACCACATCAATTCCATACACCCAGCGATCAAATTCACCATGGAGGTGGAAAAGGATGGCAAATTACCATTCTTGGATGTTTTCATCGTACAGAGACCAGATGGCTCAATGGGACAATCTGTCTACAGGAAAGCCACCCATACGAATGCCTAACAAAACCTGACTCCCACCACCATCCATCCCAGAAGAATTCTCTCATCAAAACTCTACACCATAGAGCTCGATGTATTTCCGACCATCACCACCTAGCCAGTGAACTGGAACACGTACACCAAGCCCTCAAAATGAATGGATATTCAGAATACACAATCCGAAAAGCTATCACCCCAACTGTTGGGAAAGAACCATCTCAGTAACCAATCAAAACCATCACCTTGCCATATATAGCAGGGGTCACCAAAATATTTCTAAACTCATGAGGAAACACAAGATCCAGGTTCGATTCAACACAGTACATACAATTTGTGATCTGATCCCATCTGTGAAGGATGTGATCCCTGACATGCAATACCCCGGCGTCTAAAAACTAAGCTGTGTCTGCGGCAGTAGTTACATTGGGGAAATTAAGTGACATGTTTCGGACTATGTTCGTGAACATAAGCCAGATCTGAAACACGGTAGGACCAATACCTCAGCCGTGGCTGATCATTGTTTTAATGCTGTGGGCATACACGAAATTGATTTTTCCAAGACGAAGGTACTCTGCAAACCCACTGCCTATCAGCAAAGATTCGTTCATGAAGCAATGCAGATGTGTAAACACAGACACAATTTCAACCGAGAAGATGGGTACAAACTGAGCAATCATTGGAAGGACATTGTTAACCAGTTTAAGTCATAACGGGCCATTATGTTCCCAGCCTACCACCTTCCAATATTAGTTGTTTTTTTCGGCTCTCTGAGTTTTTTACATTAACAGATGTCATTTCTCACTAACACAGCTACCTCGTGTGCCATCCTCGAGGCTGCTGCTTCAGGATCTCCCATTAACATACTAATCTCTCACATTAACATAGCCACCTTGGCGCACTCGCCGTGAAGGAGTCTCGGCGATCTTGCATTGACATGCTAATTTCTGCCTGGCAGCCCTGTGATTGGTGGAAAGCCCACCACCGCCGCGGTCGCTACCCACCACTTGCAATGGCATTGGCTGCTGACATTTGGGCTATGCCCTTTTCAAAGCTTTATAAGCAGTTGTCTTTAGCAGCTAACCCCACTTTTCCTGATGACGACCGCTCATGTTGCGATTGAAACGTCGTGAAATTTTTATTATTTTTTTGGTTATTTTTTCTCTCTACGTGACTTTACCGAAAGACCCAAACAATATGAATTCCTGCAGACATGAACGCTTTAAGTCAAGGTTGATTAAATGGCAAGTATTGGAGATTTAATTCTGATACAATTATGTTCGTTTTTATTGATTTTGGTGCAGTTTATAATAATTATTTTTATATCAGTATTTACGTAACTACACTCATTTCCATTCGGCTGTACTCAGCTCACCATTCCTTTGAACTAATAAAAAACTTCTGCTTAACAATTATTAAACATCCTCAGTTGTGTGTCATTAGGTTCAGTATACAAACTGGACTAACAACATTTGGTTTTATGCAACAAAAACTTTATTTCAAAATGTATTTTTAAAAAAGTGTACTGACGAAAGCAACAAATTTGACGTTCTAAATTATATTGTACGTGTACTGCATACAATGTTAACAGTAAGAGCTCAAAGCAGGAACGTACATGTTCACCAAATAACTATATTCGTGTGTAAACAATAAATTGCTTACAATATTGTACTTAATGTTGCCCGGTGAAATGAATTCTAAATCTAATGAGTCGCATTGAAAATAACATCCTACAGGCTGTTAATATTACTGTTTAGATACGACACATTACATGTCTTTAACATTCTCATGAAGACAAATTACAAAATGCATGACATTGTATCACACTGAATTCCAGCACGAATACTGTTAAATAGTTAGACTACTGGAATGGATGCTCCAGGCACCACTCTACGCGTGAGTGGTGCCAGTGGACTGAGAGGCCGTGCCAGGAGTCGCTGTTGCTGGCTGCTCAATGACCACCACCCTCTCGGCCGCTGCAGGGAGGGCGCGGCGCTGAGCCTTGAACTTCAGCTTCCCGTCTTCAGTCAAGCAGCAGCTCACGCTCTGCGGGTCCACGTCCCTGGGCAGCTGCGTCTCCCTGTGGAACTCCTGGCAGCTGTGGCTGTAGCTGCCGCTGCTGACTTCTCCGCTCTTCACCTCGCGCCGTCCGGCCACCACCAGCTTGTCTCCAGACACCTTCACGGCCAGGTCCTGTGGGGAGAAGTCCTGCACGTCCAGGCTGGCCGGTCTGGAACCCCCGCGGTGAAAGTCTCTTCCAGCAGCTGCAGCGAGACATGAGGAGCGAGATCGAGAGGATGGAGAGAATCTTCCGTGGAGTCGATCAGCTCAGCAGCCACACGCGGGCCCCGGGCAGCCACGGAGACGCACTGCTGCAGCAGCCGGCCGTGAGCAGTGGGTTCCAGATTGAAGATCCACAGGAGCAGGGAGGCGGGTTTGTCGCGTCCCTGGACGTGCAGGACTTCTCCCCACAGGACCTGGCCGTGAAGGTGTCTGGAGACAAGCTGGTGGTGGCCGGACGGCGCGAGGTGAAGAGCGGAGAAGTCAGCAGCGGCAGCTACAGCCACAGCTGCCAGGAGTTCCACAGGGAGACGCAGCTGCCCAGGGACGTGGACCCGCAGAGCGTGAGCTGCTGCTTGACTGAAGACGGGAAGCTGAAGTTCAAGGCTCAGCGCCGCGCCCTCCCTGCAGCGGCCGAGAGGGTGGTGGTCATTGAGCAGCCAGCGACAGCGACTCCTGGCACGGCCTCTCAGTCCACTGGCACCACTCACGCGTAGAGTGGTGCCTGGAGCATCCATTCCAGTAGTCTAACTATTTAACAGTATTCGTGCTGGAATTCAGTGTGATACAATGTCATGCATTTTGTAATTTGTCTTCATGAGAATGTTAAAGACATGTAATGTGTCGTATCTAAACAGTAATATTAACAGCCTGTAGGATGTTATTTACAATGCGACTCATTAGATTTAGAATGTTTCATTTCACCGGGCAACATTAAGTACAATATTGTAAGCAATTTATTGTTTACACACGAATATAGTTATCTGGCGTACATGTACGTTCCTGCTTTGAGCTCTTACTGTTAACATTGTATGCAGTACACGTACAATATAATTTAGAACGTTTAATTTGTTGCTTTCGTCAGTACACTTTTTAAAAAATACATTTTGAAATAAAGTTTTTGTTGCATAAAACCAAATGTTGTTAGTCCAGTTTGTATACTGAACCTAATGACACACAACTGAGGATGTTTAATAATTGTTAAGCAGAAGTTTTTTATTAGTTCAAAGGAATGGTGAGCTGAGTACAGCCGAATGTAAACGAGTGTAGTTACGTAAATACTGATATAAAAATAATTATTTGAAACTGCGCCAAAATCAATAAAAACTAACATAATTGTATCAGAATTAAATCTCCAATACTTGACATTTAATCAACCTTGATTCAAAGCTTTCATGACTGCAGGAATTCATATTGTTTGGGTCTTTAGGTAAAGTCACGTAGAGAGAAAAAATAAGAAAACATAATAAAAATATCACGACGTTTCAATCGCAACACGAGCGGTCGTCATCAGGAAAAGTGGGGTTAGCTGCTAAAAACAACTGCTTATAAAGGTATAAAGGTTTGAAAAGGGCGTGGCCCAAATGTCAGCAGCCAATGCCAATGCAAGTGGTGGGTAGCGACCGCGGCGGTGGTGGGCTTTCCACCAATCACAGGGCTGCCAGGCAGAAATTAGCATGTCAATGCAAGATCGCCGAGACTCCTTCACGGCGAGTGCGCCAAGGTGGCTATGTTAATGTGAGAGATTAGCATGTTAATGGGAGATCCTGAAGCAGCAGCCTCGAGGATGGCACACGAGGTAGCTGTGTTAGTGAGAAATGACATCTGTTAATGTAAAAAATCAGAGAGCCGAAAAAAACAACTAATATCAGAAGGTGGTAGGCTGGGAACATCATGGCCCGTCATGACTTAAACTGGTTAATAACGTCCTTCCAATGATTTGCTCAGTTTGTACCCAAGTCGGTTGAAATTGTGTCTGTGTTAACCCATCTGGAAGGCTTCATTAACGAATCTTTGCTGATAAGCAGTGGGTTTGCAGAGTAACTTCGTCTTGGAAAAATCAATTTCGTGTATGCCCACAGCATTAAAACAATGATCAGCCATGGCTGAGGTATTGGTCCTACCGTGTTTCAGATCTGCCTTATGTTCACGAACACGGTCCGAGACATGTCACTTAGTTTCCCCAATGTAACTACTGCCGCAGACGCAGCTTAGTTTTTAGACGTCGGGGTATTGCATGTCAGGGATCACATCCTTCACAGATGGGATCAGATCACAAATGTTATGTACTGTGTTGAATCGAACCTGGATCTTGTGTTTGCTCATGATTTTGGAAATATTTTTGGTGACCCCTGCTATGTATGGCAAGGTGATGGTTTTGATTGGGTCCTCAGATGGTTCCTTCCCAATGGTTGGGGTGATAGCTTTTCGGATTGTGTAGTCTAAATATCCATTCATCTTGAGGCCTTGGTGTACGTGTTCCAGTTCACTGGCTAGGCGGTGATGGTCGGAAATACATCGAGCTCTATGGTGTAGAGTTATGATGAGAGAATTCTTCTGGGATGGATGGTGGTGGGAGTCAGGTTTTGTTAGGCATTCATATGGGTGGCTTTCCTGTAGACAGAGTGTACCATTGAGCCATCTGGTCTCTGTACGATTAAAACATCCAAGAATGTTAATTTGCCATCCTTTTCCATCTCCATCGTGTATCTGATCGCTGGGTGTATGGAATTGATGTGGTTGAAAAATTGGCCCAGATCTGGTAGGCCATGTGGCCAGATGACGAACGTGTCATCTATGTACCTCTTAGACAAAGACGTAGGGTGGATGCCTGGATGGCATCTGTCTCAAAACATTTTTCCATGAAAACATTGGCTATAACTGGAGATAAGGGAGAACCAATTGGGGTAACTTCACCTTGTTTATAGAATGTTCCATTCCAGGTGAAGTAAGTGTTGGTGAGGCAGTGTCTAACCAGGGCCGGTACATCAGCATTCAATTCCAGTTTGGAGCAAATCTTCAATGATTGCAATGGTGTCAGGCACAGGAACTTTGGTAAACAACGATACTAGATCGAAACTGACAAGCAAATCACCTGGAAATGGTGAGATGTCCTTAAATAACGATACCAAGTGAGCTGATTTAAGTACAGCTGAGGTGGTCTTACCAGTGAATGGTTGTAAGGTCTGATACAGAAATGGGGCCAGTTTGCAGGTGGGTGAGTTAATGATGAAGACGATAGGATGAAGGGGTGTATCTTCTATATGGATTTTTGGTAAGCCATAAAATCTGGGTGGTCTAACAGCAGAGGGTTTTAAGGAAAGCTGCTTGGTTGGTTCGATTAAAGATGTTGAATCAGTGATGATATTGTTGGTTTTTGTAACAAGGCGGTTGGTGGGATCTCTATTGATTTTGGTACAGCTACCATCATTCAGTAGATCCTGAATTTTGTTATTTTATGGGTTTTTTTTCCATGATGACAGTGACATTGCCCTTGTCGGCTGAGAGGATGACGATGCCCTCTCTCTTTTTTAATTGAGAAAGCTCAAAGCGCACATACTTACTGATGTTGCTAATAGGTGTCTTAGCGTTTTTGATTAATATGTGTCTTAGCGTTAATTAAGGACATTTTTCGATTTGAAGCTTTCGTGACTGCAAGGATTCATCTTATTTGGTTCTTTCAGTAAAATCACGTAGAATGAGAATAAAATAATAAAATATAACAATTAAATTCTCACGACGTTTCGGCCACAACACAATTGGCCTTCTTCAGGTGAAGGAACAAAAAACTGTCGGGACGACAGAGCTCCAATGAACGCTGCTAAGATTCGTAGCGTCTTTTAAGCTGGTTGAGAGAAGAGAGGCACCTTGACAAAGGGGTTAACATATCAAACAGGAGAATTTATCATTGAAATAGCTGATGTATTTAGCTTGTGACTGGTCACAGAAATAGCTATGTTAAAGTCAAAGCCTACACATCCACAGAGGCACCTAGTACAAATCAAACGGGAGAATTTAGCATTGAATAGCTGAGGGATTAGCTTGTGACTGTCGGGACGACAGAGCTCCAATGAACGCTGCTAAGATTCGTAGCGTCTTTTAAGTTGGTTGAGAGAAGAGAGGCACCTTGACAAAGGGGTTAACATATCAAACAGGAGAATTTATCATTGAAATAGCTGACGGATTTAGCTTGTGACTGGTCACAAAAATAGATATGTTAAATTCAAAGCCTACACATCAACAGAGGCACCTAGTACAAATCAAACAAGAGATTTTAGCATTGAATAGCTGAGGGATTAGCTTGTGACTGGTCAACGAAATAGCTATGTTAAAGTCAAAGCCTACACATCCACCGAGGCACCTCGTACAAGGATGCAAAAAGGGGGATGCAACAACTCAAATATCATACAGTAAACCGATGTGAAAAAACCTGAGTCCAAATTACATCAATATAATAAATGTACTCAATATATTCTTCAATAAGCAGAGCTCATAACAGCAACTGGGTATGCACTACACTATATAATGAATACCATATAGTAAACAGATAAAAAAAACTAAAATATAAACTACCTCAATGTTAACAATAAACTCTATATATTCTCCAATCAGCTGAGCTACCAACAATAAGTCGTTATATATCACGATGCTATATGGCGAAAAAATGGTTGGATTCTTACCCTCCACATCAGCACCACGGACAGCTACCAGCCCCGTTCAGACGGATGAGTCCATCCATGGTCGGAACAGAGGGAGGAGAGAAACAGCTGCGAGGCGCTGTTATAATCATGTTATAAACCATACCATTAACCGTGGTGTGAGAAGTATTAAGAGTCAATGCCAGTGAAAGAGCTGCCGTCTGAAGATCACCATAAAATTATTAATTAAGAACCGCAATGGTTTAAAACATCTTTCCAATGGTTACTAAGCCAGAATCCATCTTCTCGGCTTGTATATGTGGATAGCCTCATGAACGAATCTCTCATGGTAGCCGGTTGGCTTGCACAGAACCTCCGTCTTTGAGAAGTCAATGTCATGTGAGCCCACTGAATTATAACAGTGATCTGCCACGGCGGAGGAGTTCGTTCTAATGTGTTTCAAGTCTGCATTATGTTCGCGGATGCGGTCCGAGATATGTCGTTTGGTTTCTCCAATGTAGCTACTACCACAGAGGCACTTTAGTTTGTAAACACCCGGGTACTGTATGTCTGGAACAGCATATTTTACAGATGGAACCAGATCACGGATTTTATGTACTGTGTTGAATCGGACCTGGATCTTGTGTTTATTCAGGATTTTGGAGATCGTTTTAGTGACCCCTGCAATGTAGGGTAAGGTGATGGTTTTGAGTGGCTCCACAAGAGGATCCTTCTTCATGACTGGAGTGATGGCTTTGCGGATTGTGTAGTCGGAGTAACCATTAGCCCTGAGAGCCTGGTGTACGTGTTTGAGTTCACTGGTAATGTGTTCCTGGTCGGAATGCATTGGGCTCCATGGTATAGAGTCTTGATGAGGGAGTTCTTCTGGGATGGATGGTGGTGGGAATCCGGTTTCAAGTAAGCATCTGTATGGGTAGCTTTCCTGTAGACAGAGTGGCTCATTGAACCGTCAGGTCTCCTTTTAATTAAGATATCCAAAAAGGGTAGCTTTCCATCTTTTTCCACCTCCATGGTAAATCTGATGGCTGGGTGTATGGAATTGATGTGGTTGAAGAATT